CATTCAGCATATGAAGTACAGATGTGCTCAGCGAGAGTAAGTGATCACAAAAGAGGAAGACTGTTGACAAGGTGCTGCACAAGGAAGGAGTGGTGGAGGAGAGGAAAGCAAGAGGAGAGGGGAGGGAAAGAGAGAGCGGGAGGAAAGCAGCCAAGTTGGCAGGATGAATGGAGAGTGCAGAAGGAGGGTAATGTGGGAGTTTGATAAATTGTGTGCGTTTTCAAGTGTGTGGGTGTTTGTTTTGTGTGTGTGTGTGTGTGTGTGTGTGTGTTAGTGTCTTGCGGAGGTGTGCACATGATACTCTGTGTGTGTGTGTGTGTGTGTGTGTGTAGCTTGAGGCTGTAACACAGACACGGCGCTTCAGCGAGTCTAGCAGCAGAGACGGACTGGAAATGATTTTGCCTCACACTGGTAGAAGCTGCTGGACAGTCTCTCGGTAAACTTGCCTGACTGGTTGCCAAAGTATAGTATATGTGTGTTAGAAGGAGCGAGAGAGCGTGTTTGTGTGGTATGTGATGTGACACCTCTCCTCAAACACACACACACACACACACACACACACACACACACAGTGTTCACCTATGCTCCTCCCGATACTGTACCTACCATGCCTTTTTTCAAAACATAAATATTACGGCTGTATGTCTGTTCATTGTTATTAACCACTTACGTACTTGGACAAAGCCCTGACCCAAAGTATTATTTCACACATTACTCATCTATCACTGTCTGTGCAACAGGCATGAATAATATCTCAAATCATATAAAATCAAAACAAATATCTCAATTTGTTGAGGAGAGGTGTACTATGACTTTACTAAATGATCATGAATTAACTGGTGATAAAATAGGCAACAACAAAAAAATCTCACAACAGTCTTGCATGAAAGGAGGGACTATATATATATACACATACACTGTATATAATTAATCAAATTTAATATTAAATATATATGTTAACATAAAAATTATTAGGTGTACATATAAATCATTATATAATATATGTAGAATAAAAATATTAAATGTATATATAATTCATTACATAATGGACCCAGATTTACTGCAGTTATTTACATATAAATAATATATTTAGAATTCATATATTAAATGCAACCAGACTTATATTTTATATGCAAATTAATTTCATTTTAAAATACATATTAATTTTACTTGCACTCATATTTACTGCATACTGTATAGCTTCCAACAAATCAGAGCAATGACAGATATGCAGATTAAAAGACTGTTTAGGATTAACAGGGTCTTGTGATAATTCCACATTAAAAAATAATGATTTAAATAAATTCTGATTCATAAACTGCAATTTCTGTGTTCAAAACGCCGTTTGAGTGTTTGACAGTGATGAAGTGAGACTGATGGAAAGGTGAAAGCGGTCTGTCATCGGCACGCTAACAAAAAGGCACAATATTTGAGATTCAGTTTTGCCTCTGATTTTATTATTTATACTAAGCAGCTTTTCTTGAAGCAACACTATCTCTCACTCTACCTGCAGTGTATGTGTGTGTGTGTGTGTGTGTGTGTGTGTGCTCTGACAGCATCAACACACCTCTGTGTTAAATCAGCAGCAGCTGCGAGCAGCGATCAAGCAAGTCTGTCATCAAATCAGATGGCGTCACCATGTGTGTACACGGCATGGGCCACAATCCCAGCAGTGGGAGCTACGCAGAACCAATGACCCTGTAAACCTGGACAAATGAATCAGTGGTCTGAGTCTAGTCACCGTCACTTTATAATCAGAGGTGTTCAGTAAATATGGGCTGCATCTGAAACTGCAACAATGCAGTCATTGTCAGTATAGGCTTCGATTCCAAAATGTGCATCCTTTGCTGCCTGTAATATCCCAAAATCCTGTGCATGTGTAAAGAATAAATATGGCTTCTAAGTAAGTAAATTATTTTAACGTAACTTAAAAGGTATATATATTCATATATAACTTATTATAAATTATATATATATATAAAATGAATTTAACTAAATATATTTAGATATATTTTATATATTAGTATATTAAATGTATTCAGATTTTTACACACACACACACACACACACACACACCTACATATATAAAGTTAGTGCTACATTTGCGCATGGCATTTTAGCATTAAAAATGTGTCTTATTCACCCACCCACAATCCAGTTTAACCAGACATTGTCTATATTTCACTAGGTGTAGACAGCATTATTTTAGATCATTAGTTTTAGACCAGAAAAACTGCTTACAAAAAATGTGCTTCTGTTTCGAACACGTCAAGAGTTTTGCACTGAAAAGTCTGTACTATAATAAATAACTCTACCCTGCTCACTGTTTTAGAATATATCCAAACTGGAGCCTCTTAGAATCAGACTAAACGTTTCATGTTGTTAATAAAAATTCATATAACAGTGTAAGTTGGGCAGATAGTGTGCTTGAGAAATCATTTTCTTTCTGTTAATCTCTCTCGCTCTCTCTCTTCTGGTCGTGCTCTGGCTGGGTTGCTATGGGAACAACAGCAGACAGGTTCTCACATCCACTCCTTCAGATTCTTCCTGGCTCACTCACCATTTATATTCATGCACAGCAGCTCCATAAACACACACACGCACAAACGAACACGTACACAAACGTGCAAAAACATGCTTAAAACAAACACGGCGTAACTGAGCATGCACACAGACACACACCCCAGAGACACACACTACCTATAAACGCACTCATAAATATACAATCACACCCCACACTCAAACACTATCGATTCTCTCCTGGGGAGGTGTTTGTGTTTGGATGAAGCATTAAACCACACTGGCATTACAATTTCTGACACACAAAGCCGATAAACACCATCAGCTCAATACAAATCTGCATTTGGTTTGGGTTTTCGGATTTAATCAGAACTAATGATTGCAGAGACGAACTAAAAAACACACCGATTTTATTGTTCAGGCATGTGATTATTACAATAAAACACACGTGACTAGAAATATGGAACACCCGTGATGGAGGTTTAGGTGTAATCAAAATTAATACCCAGCAACACCCTTAACACATTAGCCAACGCGCACGCGACGATAGAAGGATGGATAAATTCCCCGTTCTTCAAAATGGGGTTATTAAAACAAAGAGTAAGAATGCATGTGTGTGTGAGAGCGATAACAGTTTTTCTTTCTCTTTCTTGAGCTCATTTAGCAGGATAAGCATCGATAGAGAGAGGGGATCTTTTTTTCTCTGAAAGTATGGAGGGTGATTGATATGCTGAATAATATTGCCATCTCCCTCACTGCGTCTATACTAATAAGCGTATGTGCACAATAGCTAAAATGCTCATGCTATGATCACATAGCTGCATGCCTTCAGTATAAAGTGCAACAGCAGTTACGCTAAATTACAAACATGATTTTAAATGATAAATTAATGATACATTTATTGTGTTAAACAATTATTATATTAAATCTTCACCATTTTTTATTATAATTATTATTTAAAATATAAATGAATAGTGATCTGAACCAAAATCGTGGCAGGCTAATTTGGTGAACGGGTTCATCCGGTTCACTAAAAAGAATCGTTTCAAAAGAGTGATTACTTTGCGAACTGGACATCATTCTGGACCGTTTGTCTGCCCGAGTGAAAAAAGTGCACTTCCATAATGTACTTAAAGTGCTCTATTTCCATGCACTAATTTTGTACTTAATATACTAAAAATTATTCTTTAGTACTTCTTAAAGGGGTCATATGATGTTGCTAAAAAGAACATTATTTTGTGTATTTGGTGTAATGAAATGTGTTTATGCGGTTTAAGTTTCAAAAAACACATTATTTTCCACATACTGTACATTATTGTTTCTCCTCTATGCCCCGCCTTTCTGAAACGCGTCGATTTTTACAAAGCTCATCAAATATAAAAAACGTACTTATACAGGCTGTGAGTCAGAACAGCCGGCATTGTAGTCTACTCTCCCAGGATCAGGAAACAGTTCTCCATAAAATGTGCTGCACACATCTGAATATTTTGGGTTCATCCGAATATTTGGGTTGAAGTGTTCTGGAACAGTATTGTAAATACAACTTAACCACTGATTTCTAGTCGTGTCCATTTTTGGAAGGCCAAACAAAGTAGTTTTGCTTTCACAACGAAACATCACACACGGCGGCCTAGAGTGAGCAGAGGCGGCGGATTCGACGAAGGAGGCTTGCGTCAACCACATGTGGTGGCCCCGGGCTGGACTCCGCTTCGTCCACGTATGCACCAAGAGCTTGTAACACTCCAAAGAGAAAGGAAAAATTTAAATCGCATCATATGATCCCTTTAAGATAATGTACACAACTGTGCTATTTTAAGACATCATGACTGTGAAATACACTTGAAAGAAGGGTTTAAGTATACTACAAGTGGTAACTAAATAATTTTTTTAATACAGAGATAGTATGTTAAAAGCACATTTTAGTTCATATTCATGGTGTCTCAAAATAGCATACATGAGTACACTTTTTATATTTTTCGTATATTCGTAATTTGGAATATTAAGTACAAAATTAGTGCATACAAATAGATTAACTTAAATGATTTTAGCAAATGGCTGCAATATAACAAAGAGTGAAAAATTTAAGGGGGTCTGAATACTTTCCGTACCCACTGTATATACAAAACGCTATTGGCTAATTTAAAAAGGGGGCTGGGCTGCTCGATATGTCCCGCCTTGTCTTCCTGTTTCAGTTGAAATTACGCCACCACATAGAATAACGCTGCATGTTTCAAGGCACTTCAGGGGACCTTTAAGTACATTATGGAAGTGCACTTTTTCACCTGGGTGAGGCTATTGATTACAGGTAATAATTTGGTAAATAATGTTCAGTTTCTTGCACAGACCAGTCGTTTCACTTCATAAGACCTCAATATATCGTCAGGAGCCACGGGTATTAATTTTGTCTTGCCTATATATGCTTTTTTTTAACTTGCATTTTATGAATCACCAAAAACCATGGTTTCACTGTTCCTTTGAAGAAAAAGTCACCTATATCTTGGATAGTCTGAGGGCGAGCAAGTTAACAGCAAATTTTAGTTTTGGGGGGAACTACCCCTTTAACCACTTACATTACCATTCAAAAGTTTAGGGTTTAAATGTTTTGAAAAAAAAATCTCTTATGCTCACTATGGCTCACAACATACAGTAGAATCAGTAATATTGTGAAATATTGTTACAATTTAATATATCTGCTTACTATTTAAATCTATTTTAAAATGTCATTTATTCCTGTGATGGAAAGCTGAATTTTCAGAATCATTACTCCAGTCTTCAGTGTCACCGATCCTTCAGAAATCATTCAAAAACATTTCTTATAATTACCTTGAAATCTTGAAAACAGTTGCTGCTTAATATTTTTTTGTGGAAACAATGATACATTTGTAGGGTTCTTTGATGAACAGAAAGTTTTACTGTCACTTATGATCAGTTTAATGCATTTTTGCATCCGTAAAAATATTTATTTCAAAATTAAATAAAAAATCCTATATATTGCTTTCTTATTTATAATCATTACAATGTACCATAATAACTGATTCAGTTGTGTCATTCACAATGCTTTATAAGATGAGTAGTTCATTGCCTCATGAAAGAATTAAATACAAAATCTTTAGCTGCTGCGTCTCACTGATTTTTCAGTGTCTTGCACCATGTGCATTGCATTTGTGAGACACAGAGTTTGAAAGATGTGACTCCTGCGTTAACTGTTACATTCTATTGCAAGGTGTTTTTGAAACGCAAGAAATGTCCTGCGTGAACAGCCCCGAAGCTCATTAGAATCATATTTAATTAAACAATGAATTAATCTATATCATTAATACTATGTAGATGGATTATATCTGCTCAGATTAACATGCATGAATGTAAGCCTTGTTTAAATATGTGCCAGCCTGAGGAGGTGGGCTTCCACTCAAGATTTCTTCCTCATCTGCTTAAACATCTTTGGCAGTTTTTCCTCTTCTAGCTCACTAGGGGTTTAGAAGCTACTATTCTTTACAAAGCTGCTTTAAAACAACATAATATTGTGAAAAGCGCTATGCGAGTTGAATAGTCGCTGTGCATTAGCATAAAGCTGACCTCTGCTCGCTTCTCCAACGGTCGCTGTTGCTTGTGTCTCCTCAAATCGCCAACCTTCACTGCAACTGAACGACTTCCAGACGCTTTGTCGCTGCAAATCGGCATCTAGTATAGTTGTGTTGTTCGCTTTCAGAGTAGACGGGGTCTCTCTCTCGCCATCATTCCTACTTTCTTAAATCTCTCTCTCACTAACTCACACACACACACTTCCATATGAATGTTGATATTGTTCTCAGAATACTAACCAGGCACTGAACGTCTGTAATAGACAGCACATCACTGCCTCTGAGATTAAGACGGACAGAGAAAGCGAGAGGTGGTTCGAGGTAAATTAAGCTGATTCTGTGCTGAAGCTTGAGCTGTGTTTTATTCCGTCTGTCTGTGTGTTTCAGCCCGTTACATCAGCCAGGTTTCCTACCTGCACAACAGCACCAGCATATGCCATATTGTGCACACACCATTAACCGTTAACAAGATTCGTAGCTAATAAGAGTCAGCCACTGGATTTGATGAATAGTATGTTAATTTCTTACTCTCACAATCTCCCGGGCTGATTTTCATGCATTTCATACATGCACGGCCACAGGAATTGATATGTTTGTAAAGGTCTCGCTGTCTTGCTGCAGTTTCTAGAGTCAGATTCTGTTCTTTATTACAGCTGAAGGTCTGCTGGCTTACAAGCCATAGTCCTGCATGCTGAAAAATACAAGTAATATTTGTTCATCTCCTTTCTATTTAAAGAAATTCATACTTTTATTCTGAAAGTATGCATTAAAGGGTTAGTTCACCAAAAAATGAAAATTCTGTCATTAATTACTCACTAATCGTGTTGTTCCAAACCCCGTAGCTTCGTAACTTTACAGTTGAACCACTGATGTCACACGGACTACTTTGTCGATCATCTTGGTACTTTTCTGGACCTTGAACGTGGTAGTTACCTTGCTGTCTATGGGAGGGTCAGAGAGCCCTCATATTTCATCAAAAATATCTTAAAAACTGTGTTCCGAAGATGAACGAAGGTCTTACGGGTTTCGAACAACACGAGGGTGAGTAATTAATGACAGGATTTTTGGGTGAACTATCCCTTTAAATTGACCAAAAGCAAGGTTAAAGATTTCTATTTCAGATAAATGCTGTTCTTTTAAACTTTCTATTCCTTAATGATCCTGAAAAATATGTACTACGATATGTAGCGCAGCTGTTCAACAATGATAATAATTAGAAATGTTTCTTGAGCAGCAAATCGGCATATTATCATGATTTCTGAAGGATCATGTGACACTGAAGACTGGAGTAATGATGCTAAAAATTTGGCTTTAATAACAGGAATAAATATATATATTTTTTATATTACAATACAAAACAGCTATTTTAAATTGTAATAATATTTCACAAAATTACTGTTTTTCCTGTATTTATATCAAATAAATTCTGCCTTGGTGACCATCTTTTAAAAATCTAACTGCAAACGTTTGAATGGTAGTGTTAATGTTTTTGTAAGAAAAGGGAATTTAGCCTATTAAAAATAAATAAATAAATGTATTTGATGTGCCAGCAAGATATAATGCTGCTGTAGATTCTCTCGGAAAATTTCCTAAATTTCTAAATGTCCTTATGCAAACAGTCAAGGACAAAGTCAATGCACTAATTTGTACTAAATACAGACACGCAAAAGAGCTCAAGTCCTCCATCTTTCTCATTATCTGACTCTCTTTCATTCTGTCACGAACACGTTACGTGTTTCAGTGTTTTCATGCAATTTGTTTGATTAAACAAACAAACAAACAAAGTCTTCTTTTCTCTTCTCCTTCTTTTTGTGTCTGCAACATAGAGCCCATCTGGGATGGGCAGCCATCGTTGTCATGGTGACGCTTTCCACCGGGGCATCCGATTGGCCGGTGGACACGAAGCAGTCTCTGTCTGGTTTGGACGCAGCCGTTTGAGTCCTCAGGGACAGTGGTGGGGACGGGCGCCTCATGCAATGCAAATATGACACCTTTGAACTGACTGGGTGTTATAATTTTGAGTCACTTGAAAAAATGAAAATGTGGAACACCGCAGATGCGCTCATAGGCAGCCACGTGTGCAGACCAAAAGTCATTTCACTAACGTCGAATGAGGATTCGTATACGTATAATTTATGAAAGCTTTTAGAAAATGGAAAATGTTCAATTTTACAGACAGAATCACTAAGTGGATCATGCCTGAACGAATCGCTGTGTTCATTTTAAACATCATTTTCCTCCTTTCAACTCTTTAACATTGTTTTATCATAAAACTTACAAGGCACACGATGTCAGGCTTAACTTACACGTTCAGATGCCTGTAATGTCTAAAAAGGCATAGTTCATCCCAAAAATGAACATTTTGTCATTGTTTTCTCATGTCATTTCTAAAACCATCATCAATGAATCCTGAAAAAAGTATCACGGTTTCCAACTGTTTTCAACATTGATAATAATAATAGTTTCTTGATGAGCATTATTATATTATTATCATAGGAGTAATGATACTGAAAATTCTTATAAAAGTTTTTCCATCACAGGAATAAATTGCATTTTAAAATATATGCAAATAGAAAATAGTTGTTTTAAATGTCAAAAATATGTCACAATATTACTCTATTTATTGTATTTTTTAGAGTTTCAACTGTACATTTTTTACATACTTTATAAAATTTTTACACACAAACTTTACAAGGCACAAGATATCAGTCTTCACGTATACTGTACACATTCAGGTGCCTATTAGTTCTTAAAAAGTGAAAGTTCACTATACTTATTATGACTTTCTATCTTCTGTGGAGCACAAAAGGAGAATTTTATCAGAACATTCAAGCTGCTCATCTAAACAATGAATGCCGCATTTTGTCCTGCAATGACTTTAATGATGGTTGGTGTCACAATGCCATTGGTTCTTGCATATAAAGTGACTGATCGCGATGCAGCAAGTTTAAACATGCAGAAGTGCATATGACTTGTGTGATGTCAAAGAGGAAGATTTTCATTGAATAACGTAACTTTCCTCACACAAATCGGCCATATGGCTCAGAAGCATTGCAATACACTACTTTTATGATTTTTTTCTATACTTTCAGAGTTTAATAGTCACTGCTTCAGTGGAAGAAATTCATACAGGCTTTGAATAACATGAGGGTGAATAAATGATGACAGAATTACCATTTGTGGTGTGAACCCTCTGATCTCTTTTAGTATTTTACACACACATACACACACACACACCTCAGTTATGGTGACCTCTCAGCATTGACTCCATCAGATTGACTGGCCTTTAATCTAGGGGAGGATTATGGGCTGTGGTCTACTGCCCAGATTAGCATGATCAGCACACGCTTGCTGTTTTTCATTATCCGGGCGGCACAGATCAGAAAGCAGAGAAGGGTGTAAAGCTGAACTAAACTAGGCATGAGGTCTTTATTTATACCCTGAGTCTCATTATCAACTAAATGTAGTTACGGACAGGTCTGCACAAACCTGCACCCGCAGAACTCTCGAAAGCACTGCAGATTTCCACAGACTTTGTGTCATTCGCAAAGCTTTACATATCCTCCACCCCTTGCGTGTTCATTTACCAAACATTTGGCTAATCTGATAATGCCGATAAGAGCTCCATTTAACATTGATTCTGCAGATTTTTACCTACACTGTACAAAAAAAATGTAGGCATTTGTAGAACATGCAGAAAAGTAGAAAACAATAGAACAATGATGGCAAAATATTTGAATTTTTTATATAAAATGATATAAAATGTGTCATAATTAGTAAGAGTTATTCGTTTAGATTAGGTAACCCTCAGAAGATTTCCTAAATTGTAATATCAGGAAAAACTTAAGCCCATTTGGGAAATATTATATACATAATTATAACCATATATATCTATAATTATGAATATATACATCACATTTTTATGCTTGTTGCTTCAAAAAGGTTATTGTGTTCCTGAATG